AAAGAACAAGGATGAATAATCAATTATTTTTGCTAACTTTGCTAGCTTTAACCACTTGTTTTATCTAAAAGTTACACAGAAATTAAGATTATATGACAGCTGGGCAGTAATGGTGCACACCTTTAATCCCAGCACTTAGAAGGCAGAGGCAAGAGGATCTCTGTGAGTTCAAGGCCAGCCTACAGAGCGAGTTCCAGGACAGCCAGGACTACCCAGAGAAACCCTGCCTGGAAAAACAAAGCAAAAAATAGAATTTTCATAAAATGAAAATTACATGACTGGTATATATCCTTCTGGGTATTCAACAGCAAAGCCCAGGGACACACAGTACAAGGATAGGAAGGTCAAAAGAGGGAAGCCAATACTTTGGTGTTTGTCATGCAAAGCCAGCCAGGACCCAGAGAACAATGATACCTCTCTGATAAAGAGGTTACATCCTCTACATCCTCATGCTCAGGGGAAGCCACAAAGGCTCCAGATATTTGACTCTCCTTGTTGTGGTAGGATGAATGACATGTGTCCCCAACAGTCTCAGCCATTTGAACATGTGGTCCCCATTTGGAGACATCATTTGGGGAGGTGCAGCTCTGCCACTGATGACAGGCTTTGAGTAAAACTCTGCTTTGTGCTTATGGTAAAGGATTTGAGTTCGTAGCTTCTTGCTGTGACAACGAGTTACACATCCTACCCACTCTGGAACTGTTAGCCAAGTAAACTCTAGCTTCCTTAAGTTATCTTGTCATGATGTTCTATAACAGCAATAGAGAAGTAACTAATGACACTCCTACCTGTCCTGTGAGACAGTCACTTGGGGCCCTCAGGCTACATGTGTGATGACAAGTTTTCTCTGTGTGGGGGTCTAAATCATTGCTAAGCAGGTGTGGGTGTGTATGATTCATCTCATTATAAACAAAAAGATGGTAAATAAGAAAACAAATCTCAGGCAGGAGGCCTTCTGACCTGGGAACCATCCTGGCAGGCGTGACAGAAATCAATATAGCAGAGAACCTGGACCACTAATAGTAGTGGCCCACCTTGGTGTGGCGGGGTGGGGTGCCCCCTTCCAGATGCCGCTATAGGGAATGTGACTTATTATCTTAGAACCAGTCATACCATGACTGGCTTTATAGAAAATACAGATTAAGGTAATGGTGGCTACGTCATCTCCGAAGCATTGAGAGACATTATAAAAAGTTTACATATTAAACTGGGACCATCCATCATCTGCCTTGGCACTCTCCCTTCTCAGGCAAAGCTGAAGGGGGAACCAGCCTTCTCCACGGCTGAGTATTTCAAGCACTGAGCTACATCTAGATACAGCATGGCCTTGGACCAAATGTTTACCTACAATGCTGCTCAGAACCCTTACTGTCCCTCAAGAGCACCTAGGGCTGTTACCCTATGAAATGCTGCATATGCTGCCATGCCTGACAAGGGCCATTGATCTTTCCGTTTGTAGTGGTCTGAAAAGGAATGACTCACCAGGGAACAGAACTCTGCCAAAATTAGAAAGATTAGTAAGTGTGGCCTTGTTGGAGAAAGTGTGTCACTGGGGTTAGGCTTTGAGGTTTCAAAAGCCCATACCAAGTCCACACTCTCTCTCTCCCTCTCTCCATCCCACCCCCTCCCCTTTCTCACCCCCTCCCTCTTCTTCTCTCTCTGCTTGTGGAACAGGATGTAGCTCAGCTCCTTCTTCAGCACCACACTTGCCCGGCACCATGCTCTCTACCATGAGAATGAATCAAGCATTTGAAACTGTAAGCAAGTCCTATCTCAATGCATTCCTTATAAGTGTTGCCTTGGTCACAGCATCTCTTCACAGCAATAGAACGGTGACTGAGACATCATCTATGAAATGCTGTATTGATTGTCATGCCTGGCAAGGGTCATCGACCTTCCTGTCATGGAAGCTAATGATCAGTTTCTCAGAGGTTCCATGTGGCCTCTCTTCCACTTGCTTTCTCTTAGGTTACAAGACCTCTCTCACCCACCCAGACCACCACTCAAGTCGCCAACCCATTCTTTACAGCTTGAGGACCAAATGTTAATAAAAGACTGGAAAGAGAATTGAAAAGGACCAGGGCTCCTCATCAGGGCACCATCGAGAGGGCTCTTCACAGACTGTCTCATCCAATGAGATATTTGAAAAATCACACGTAAGGGATCCTTTTCTGACTTTATAGAATGCCAGTTTAAAACAATAAAGAGGGGTCTCCACCCTCACTGTGGTGCGAGAAGTCAGGGTTATGGCAGGATGTTGTGTGAGCCCATGCATACAACAATTAGTCCAACAACCAATGAGAGCTGCAGTAACTAGCACAGTTCCTGCCACCATCTATGTCCCACACTTCAAAGCAGGAAACTCAGACTACACTAAGTAAATTTAAAGAATGAGAAGATACTGTGACCAGGGAAACTGTGGGGGCTTAAATGAAATGTCTTGTCCTTTCTATCCAAGTTTTAAAAGAGCTAAAAGAAATCCCACTTTTAAAGAAATCTTTTTTACAAACCCCACCTGCAAAAATCCCTGCCCCAGTCAGTATTTCTCAGGATCAAAGTACTTTGCTTCTAACTGCATTGCTCTCCGTTAGCTGGTCATGTGAGGGAGTGTGTGTGTGTGTGTGTGTGTGTGTGTGTGTGTGTGTGTGTAGGGGACCATGTAAGAGTTTGGGTGTGTGTGTGGGGGTCATGTAAGAGTGCAGGGGTGTGTGTGTGTTTGTGTGTGTGTGTGTGTGTGTGAGGGTCATGTAAGAGTGCAGGTGTGTGTGTGGGGTCATGTAAGAGTGCAGGTGTGTGTGTGAGTCATGTAAGAGTTTGGGTGTGTGTGTGTGTGGGTCATGTAAGAGTGCAGGGGTGTGTGTGTGTGTGTGTGTGTGAGGGTCATGTAAGAGTGCAGGTATGTGTGTGAGTCATGTAAGAGTGCAGGGGTGTGTGTGGGGTCATGTAAGAGTGTGTATGTATGGGGAGTCATGTAAGAGTGCAGGGGTGTGTGTGGGGTCATGTAAGAGTGTGTATGTATGGGGGTCATGTAAGAGTGCAGGTGTGTGGGGGGGTACATAAGAGTGTGGGTGTGCGGGTGTGTGTGGGAGATCAAGTTCTGAGCACTCAGAGTATAGTGCAGGACCCCTTTGTGTTAAGAATAATGCTTGCTCAATTTGGCTTGGATACGTATCCTTCCTTCTGCGGAGAAATTTTCTCCTTGAAATACTTTGGATTGTGTGGTCATTTCTCCTGAGACTCCCAGACCCATTTCTAAAACCTGACTTCCTGGGAAAGGTTCTAAGCTTCTGCATCAACCATGCCCCTCTGGGAATGCGGTACTACCAGGACAGAGTCTACAGGTCTGCCTGAACCTTGTTCCTCCTGCTACCTTAATCATCTCAAGGGACTGTCGTGTTACAGGATCTCCATTGCTGACCTTGTCTGTGGACCCAAAGCCTTTCCCTGACCAGCAGCCTCATCATTAATTACTAGCCTGCCTTTAAAGCAAGGAGCAAGAGGTAGATCCTCTTCCTGTGGCTTCGAGCCCCCGGTGCTGCCACCTGCCACCTGCTACATCTAGGTCTGGTATGGAGAGGACAACAGTCACAGCAGTGTCACTTCCAACTCTCTCTTGTGGAAATTGCATCTTTTCATTCCCTTTGGACATGGTTCCTAGATGAGACTCCTGTCCCCTCACAGCCTTCACTGGTTTGTTGTTTTGGTTTGGTTTGGTTTTTTTGTGCCCTGAACAAAACACTCTGTGTGTCATGAAAGGCGCAGCAAGACATCCTCTCGGGCAGAGCATAGGTGCTTGCTTCCTTTACCAGGAGGAAGGTAGGCTGCACTGCAAGGCGGACAGCAAGACACACAGCCCCAAAACAGGAGCATCCCCACTTACACAGCCCTGCCAGACAGAACTTGGAATACATTCTAGGTTGCTTGCAAGTGTCAAGATGTTTATGGCAATGCAAATGTAAAGTGAAGCCAAGTGCTGGTCCAGGGCTCTCTCAGATAGTGAGGTTGTACACCAATAGAATTATGATTACTTTGTTGGTATCAATATTTTCACACCAAAAGAAAAAGAGGAGGATGTTAGGACAAGATAGGAAGAGAAAATTTTGGGGACCTGGGACTGGGGCGAAGGCCCCACCCTGGAGTCTGGCTGAAGCCCCTTTCCAAGTGAGAACTAAGGGTCCCAGCACAGATGACACTTGCTGTGAAGACTCCAGCAAGGACACTCCTTCTGTTTTATATAGATCCCTTAGGTTCCTTTAACATAGAACAAAACCAAGCTTGCCGACTTGTCTGTGGACCCAAAGCCTCACCCCATTACTGACAATCTCAACAAGACAGCTACATTTGTTTACAGGGAAGATGCCCACTTCCCAAATCCTTATTGTGTAGACTTTAACCTTATCAATTGTAATCCCATCATGGGCTCTCAGGAACCACCCTGCATCCTCAGTTAGAGCCTTAGTTACCCTTTTGAAGGTTATTGTAAGACAAAGACATTGATTCCCTCAGACGCTCAGGCCTGTGCTCTCAGGTGCACCTCACTTTCTTCTGAGCACCATCCCTTTCTCAACCCTTATGCCTGAGTTTATATTAAAGTCTCCATTAAACCTGGACACTGTCTTGTAATGGCTAGTCCTGAAATTCTTTTCTGAATCAAAGCCGCAGACTCTAGTTTGGCTTGAGCAGAGGTCCCCAAAAGATTAGGGGCTCTCCTTAGTGCTATCAGTGCTGCAGCGCTGCAGTGGGGCTGGGCCTTTTCTTCTGTTTCCTACACTGCCAACAGGACTGCTTGACCTCATTTTCCTGCTTGAGATGCTCTTCCCTGTGCACATGCCCTAAGCTGTAGCAAGATAATTTTCTGCTACATTATATTTTCAATAAACCTTGGTAATTTGGGAGGAGCTAAGAGTGGGAAGAGTTAAGAGTGGGAGGAGCTAAGAGTGAGAGGAGAAGGAAGAGAAGGAGAAAGAGGAAGAGAGGGGAAGCAACCATGGAGGAAGATGGACGGGTCGAAAGCAGTCCTGGGTAACGATTTATATATATCTAAAGGTTAGATATTGGGTAACAATTCTAATTGTGTGGGCATCTTGTTAACTGAGCGTTTCCAAATATATAAATCCTTTGGATAATCTTTAGCATTAAGACTCTCGTTTCTACTGGGTACCTCGGCCATATCGGGAATTGTCTGGGCTCAGCTGAGCCTTGTTGGGGCAGCATGGTGGATTGACAGAGCCAGCTGCCACACTGGGTCTGGTGGGTCTAACTGCAGAATACTTGGCCTCTGGACCATGTGCAGAACATGGTGGCAGGAGCTAAGCAGAACCACCCTGCCAGTTAGATACCCAGTCAGCGCCACGGCTTTTTAAAAATTTCACCCGTTACAAGAGGCACATTAACTTCTGCACAAATTCACTAGCACTTTAAGACTATTCATCTGAGAACTATAGTTGTATTTTTATTTTCTTAAAAAAATTAGTGAGTAGTGCTGAAATAAGTCACATGACTCCAGCGCAGGAATTTTGAAGAAAGAAACTGCTTGCAGGCAGGTTTCCTGCTGTGAGAAATTGCGGGCTGCTCTGAGTCAGAGAGCCAAATGAATAAGCCTCCATTTTGGAGCAGTTACTGATGTAACTGTATCTACAATATAGGGATTATTTGCTTTTAAGAAAGATTTAGAAACAGTCTTGTCCGGTTCATGTGGGGTATCTAGCCTGCAGTTTGGAACAAAGATAGGTAAGGAAAATTTGTCTATTGCTCTAGGAAGAGGCCTACAGACTGACAATATAACATAGTTGGCTGCTCTGAGTCAGAAAGTCAAATGAATAAGCCTCCAGTTTTGGGATGAATACTGATTCAACTGAATTTACAATATAGGGATTATTTGCTTTTAGGAAAGACTTTGTAAACAGATTTGTCCGATTCACGTGGAGAATTTTGCCCATGGTTCAGAACTAGGATAGAGAAAATTAGTCACAGACTCCAGGTAGAGAGTACAGTGTATAAATACAGACTGCTCTAGGCAGAGAGCCAAATATAGAGAGGTGTGAATCAGTTGTATTAAGATGGTATAAAGTTATATTGCTTTAATATGCCTCACAGGAATATTAATTGCCCCACAGGAATTCTGGGTTCATTTCCTGCTTGGCAAAATAGGAAAGGTCTAAAAATAGGCACATACAGTACTTTAGTTACTTCATTTGTTTTAGATTGATTTAATTTTCAAAATGGGTGTGATTTTCAGTTTTGTAGTTATATTTTTCCTCTAGAAAAAAGGTCAAGATAAAGGTTTTTCTGGTTACCTGCTCAAGGATATGCTGATTTGGGAAAAAGGTTCTGTCAGTGTGTTTTTGGAAGAGGTCGTTAAGGTAGTTACACCTTCCAGAATTATGTGGATCAGACATGACAGATGTAGACCTCCAGAAGACTAGATTCCAGAGAATCAAACACATTATCTTGATACTAAAATTTGTCTTTAGATTTGTATATTATACAATATATAATATATAGAATATACAGCCTTGGTGAATGAATCTCCTCGTCAGAACATGCTGAACTGACCTGCTTAAACTCCTGATGTCCTGGACTTCCAGCTGGATCCAGTTAAGACACCGACATCAGAGGCTTATCAATTTATCCTCTCCTTCTCCCACCCCTATTCAAATATCTCAACACCGAAATTCAGATTGAAGTAGTTAATGAAGAGTTGGCATCCCAGTTCCCTGGGCTTGGGGGCAGTCATTATTAGATTGTTTTTCTACAGATTTTAGTAGTGGTTTTTATTGGAACAGGGAGGAATAGCTAGAATTGATTGTATAGCCATATCTATTGGTAGAAATTTATATAATTGTTACTAACCTGAAGACATAATTTCTTAGATGGTACTAAATTTATTTTGATACAAATTCAAGGGTTTTATTGATATAATTTTTTCTATTAATTCAAAATTTTGTGGGTACAAGGCTTAGACCTAGTTCTTCTTTAACTTCTTAAAAACTGATTTGAGATGGTTAGCCTGTGAGTTAAGGGTCTATAGCAAATTCATGGCTCTGAGTTTATTGTTAGGGTGTTTTCTAGATTTTAATTAGAAATAGCTGAGAGTAATTAATGGACAAAAGTCCAGATTGCTTTACATAGATAGTTGGTTTTCAAAAACATCAGAAGTCCACAGAATTGACGGTAGAGACATCTCTTTATTAAAGATCATTTGATTAGAGACCTGTCTGCTCCTGACAGCTTCCCTTTCTTGGATTCTAAGAAGAGGCTGAGCATCTTTGGAGTTACTCCAGTCGTGGTGAGACTGCCACTAGGCAAATTGCCTCTTTTCATCTACAGACAAATACTGTCCAGCAATACGACACATTATGTGGAATAGTTGACTGATAATCTCTGCCTAGACAAGGAAATCAGCCCTTAGAAATTCTGCATTACTAGATCTGTCAGATGATCCTGGGCTAGAAGGCTGAAGATCAGATGCTCCTACATTTTTGAAGTTAAGGGACTGTCCAGGTAATCAGCGGTCTATATAAAATTGGCTAAGTTTTGGAAGCTATGCTTTGTGCTTCCCATATCTTCAGTTAATTCAGTCATTCTGTATTTCTGACAGGGTTGAAGACTTACAGTCTCTTAGCCAACCCAGGCTATTTACTTTGAGAGAACAGATTTGAGAAGATGGTTTTCAGCTGACATTGATTCTAAAGCCAGGATATAAGCCAGGTAAAGAACTATAGTCTTTTAAGTTAGGATAGATGACAATAGTCTTTTTATTGATAATATATTGGACTGGGTATTAGGTCTATCCTGTACCTTACAATAACAACATGACAATAGTTGTGCTCAATTTATATCTGAGATAAAAGTCTTTCAATTGGACAGAAAGAGGGAAAGTTGTTTTTTTTTATTCTAACATGAAGGGTGATATGTAACAAGATCATTTTCTGCTACATTATATTTTCAATAAACCTCAGTAATTTGGGAAGAGCTAAGAGTGGGAGGAGAAGGAAGAGAAGGAGGAAGAGGAAGAGAGGGGAAGCAACCATGGAGGAAGATGGACGGGTCGAAAGCAGTCCTGGGTAACGATTTATATATATCTAAAGGTTAGATACTGGGTAACAATTCTAATTGTGTGGGCATCTTGTTAACTGAGCGTTTCCAAATATATAAATCTATTGGATAATCTTTAGCATTAAGACTCTCATTTCTAGCTGGGTGGTGGTGGCGCACGCCTTTAATCCCAGCACTTGGGAGGCAGAGGCAGGCGGATTTCTGAGTTTGAGGCCAGCCTGGTCTACAGAGTGAGTTCCAGGACAGCCAGAGCTAAACAGAGAAACCCTGTCTCGGAAAAAAAAAAAAAAGACTCTCATTTCTACCAGGTACTGCGGGCATATTGGGAATGGTCTGGGCTCAGCTAAGCCTTGTGGGGGCAGAGCCTTGTGGGGGCAGCATGGTGGATTGGCAGAGCCAGTTGCCATGCTAGCATCTTGTGGTGTCAGGGCCAGCGCTTCTAGCTAGCTGGAGCTGCAGTCTGAGGGAAAACAGTGGGAACATGGCGGCTGCCTGGTAACAAGCCGGACTGGGCACCAATTATTAAATAACTCCCTTTACACTAAGCCCTGCTTTCTGTATTGCTTTCCCCCAGTGCTTGAAGAATCTATTCTGACTAAATGACTAAAATGAGAGCTACAAAACTGAGGTCCTAAGAATGTAGGACAACTCAACAGTGCTTTTCAGCGGGAGGCAAGCTTGGGCTGAATTTGGACCTAAGAAAGAGGAAGATGTAGAAAGTGGAAGGACGCCTGTGACAGGGACCGCCACCTGAGCCTAGCCATGGCCACTGCAGTTACACTTCACTCCTTCCTGACAGGAATGAGCCGTGGCTGGAATCTCTGCAGAGTGCATTCGTCTTCTGAGATGTCCAAGGAGGTGTGGCTACTCCCTGCTCCATTTCTTCTTCAGCTACAGTGAGATGCCAGACCTTTGGGGAATTTGGTGGGAGGCAGCATAGGAGTCTGGTTTCTATTCCTCACATCTAGACTGCAACAACAGATGTTGGAGCACAGGATCAGGAAAGAGAGCACTCCAAGGCCTGGTTTTCCTGAAGCCAGGATGGGATCAAGTCCCTATTGTTCACCTGCTCTTGGAAGTCCCTTGCAAACCAGCCCTAATGTAGAAGCTGTTAACCATGGTTGCTCTGTCCAGAACCACATTTAAACCGAAGGCCACATGATAATGACTGCACTAGCACAGTTGCAGAACATTGCTGATCGTAGAGAAGACAGGCACCGTGGACCCCAGTGCCAGGCAGCACACTTCATTCACAAAGAGATAGGACTGGCCTCATACTCCCAGTGGTCCTTGCTGTTCCTGTCTGGCCATCTTGACAGCATCTTCGGCATGTGTTAAGACTGTTAATCCCAAACCCAATGTTCTGTTCACAGACAGAGGGATCTTGGTCCTAGACACTCCGATTAGTGCAGGATCTGTGTCTTCTTGAGCTTCTCATCCTGGTGCTCTGCCTTGTGTAGCTTGTCCCTGTGGGTTTCTCATTAATGTTCTCCTTGACTGTGTATCTCTCAGGCATGTGAAGGCTCTCTCCTTGCCCTGTCCAATGTACTAGGTCACACCTGTATATGTACATGCCCAGCTCCAACACAGGGACAGGGAACAGGAGGGTGGGATCCCAGTAACCTGGTCCTCCATCTCCCTCTCCTTGGATGTGATGATAGTGTGCTTGCAGGAGTCTTCCCATCCCCTCTGTCTAATTTACTGCTTGCTTTCCTCTGGACCTTGCTTTTCCTCTGGTGTTGACTTTATTTCAACACCCCAGGGCTTCACAGAGTACATGCACCCAGGAAACACCCATTGATGTGTGACCCCCATCTAGTAACCAGCTCTTCTACAAGGAAAGCCCCAGAACAGAGAGTTCTGTTTTCCTCATCTTCAGATACTAGAGGTCTGTGCTATCTAGTGTGGCCAGTTCTTAAATGTGCTTTATTAATTAATGTGCTTCATTAAGCAATTAAATGCCCAATTAATAAAAATTAAATTAAAATCTGATCCTTGGCCATGCTTGCTCCATCTTAAATGTCCCAAAGAACCATATCCCACTGACAATTAAGAAGACATTCTCTGCTTGGGGGACCTGCTGGTGTCACTGCACAGCTTCTGTATGGCTTGCTTTCCAGACTTGCCTAACTGAAGTCTGTCTACCACAGTGGAATGACTGAGTTGGAGCTGTAATGAGCCAGTGGAGATGACGAAGTGAGGCTGCACAGGGCTTGCTTTGGCTCCGCTACCTCATCTGAAGTTTGCAACTGTTTGAAGTATCTTGTTAAAGACCTCTGAATGGACAGACCTGGAGACAGTGTGAACCAGAGAGAGTCCCAAAGAAGAAGTCAGGGACTGATCTTAACTGGTGCAGGTAAAGAAGTATCAGTCAATATTGACTGTTGTAGGTATGAGCCCAGAAAGGGACTTCATGGAGCACCTCAACTCCAAGATGAGAAAAGATTCTCAGGCAAGTAATAGCTCTCTAGGAAGGGACCAGAGGAAGATAGTATCAACAGCAGTCAGGCCATTCCCAAAAGAGCTTCCAAGACTGAGTATTACCGAGTATTAAACCGGGAAGAAAAAGAGCATGTATGTGAGTGTGCTTGTCATCTGCACAGTCCAGTAGCATGCTAGTAAGAGTTCTGTGCCTCTGGCGTTAGGAGCGCTGGCGGTATAGCTATCATCCCTTGCTCTGGGATTTAAAGATACTTTTCCCACCTTTGCTACAGCAAACATCAAATCCTTGAGTCATGTTGGTACCTCCTCCTGGGAACTTGGCACAAGAGATGTGCAGCTAGGTTTGGGGTCTTGACCCATGAGAGAAATCTGATGGGACAGGATTTGTTCATGGGCACAAAACTAGAACCTACTGACAGCTTCCTTTGCATATGCCAAGTGAGGGTGAGAAGCTGACCCTCTCTCTCTCTTTCCAATTTCAACCCTTCTGGGTTACAGGGCACTGCCAGGTTGACACTGATATTGGTGAATTGTCAAGTGTTGTTGTTTGAATTCACTGAAGAGCTGGCTTTGGAAATCAAGGAGACTCCCTCATTTCAGACTCAAGCATGTTTGCCTCAAATTGTCTTCCAAAGTCCTTTGGGCATTGTCTGGGTCACTGACCTCCCTAACTCTGTAACAGGAAAGAGGTCAGCAAAACAGCCCCAAAAGAAACACACTGTGCCCTTGAGAATAGCAAGAAGGTGAACTCTTTCCAACAGAGTTTACTATTGTTGGAAACCCATGATATAAAAGTACCTGCAATGGAAAAGAGAGGTGGAAGCCCCACGCAGAAAGCCCAGCCAATGGGAAGCCCAATCACGGGAAGCTCAACCATGGCAAGCACAGCCTGGAGAAAAAGTTCAGTCAGGAATGTCAGATGATGCCTCAACTTCACAAATTCATTTCCCCTGGGTGTTTTGAGCATCCTGTCCACTTCCTGTTATCTTTTCCTTTGGTTTACTATATACTTCATAAACTCATTCTCAGGATTACAGAGAAATGAAGAGACAAGACAGTCTCCCTTGAGATTGCTGTGTGTGCCTCAGAATCATAGGGCAATGAGGAAGAAGCTTGTCCTGAGCTCATGTTGGCTTCTACCACTTACTCAACATTATCTCAACTTGTTTATGTGTCCATCTTGCCAAGAACCCCTATGGCCAGGCAGGATCCTGAAGGTGTGGGAAGGGGCTCCTGGGTTGGTTGTATTGAGTCCTTGATTTCACCTCCTGGAATTGGCCAGACCTGAGGGAACTTCAGGAAGCAGCAGCAGGTTGTTTCTGGTCCTCTGAGACCTATTGCACATTGCTAATGGGCTCCCGAGTTCCATTCATTCAGTTACACTTCCCTTCCAGTCCACTTGGGGAACAGTGTGAACCCCAGCAGGTCCCTGTGACAGGATAGTTTCCTGCTACATTGTATTTGCAGTAAAGCTCAGTGATTGGGCAGTAGAAGACATGGGTGGAGCTAAGAGTAGGAAGGAGGAAAGGAAGAGGAGAAGGGAGAGAGCTAGCAACCATGGAGGAAGACTGATAGATTGGAAGCAGTCCTGGGTAACAGTTTATATCTAAAGGTTAGATATTGGGTAACAATTCTAATTGTGTGGGCATCTTGTTATTTGAGCATTTCCAAATATATAAATCCATTGGATAATCTTTAAGTTTTAAGAGTCTTCATTCTACCGGGTACCACCAGCATGGCAGATATTATCAGGGGCTCAGCCAAGCTTTGTGGGGGCAGCATGGTGGATTGGCAGAGCCAGCCGCTAGGCTGGCGTCTCGTGAGTCTAGGGCAGGTGGGAGTGACCTCTGGCTGCTTCTGGTACAGAACGGTGGCGGGAGCTAAGCAGAGCCGCCCTTGCCAATTAGATAGCTGGCCGCACCGCAGCTTTTCAAAATATCTCCTGTTTCAGGTCCCCACCGGTACACAGAAAGTGACTTTGTGAACAGTGAAGAAAGAGCAACAACCTGAATGTAATTTGCCTCCGCCCCCTCCCCCGCCCCCTTGCCCCTTGGCCACCTGTTCCAGTCACAGCCCCTCCCCCCTTTGCACTTTCATGAGTCTACTTGTAAAGCTCTCGTGCACATAGCAAAGGTCCTTGGGACCTCGCTGACTAAAAAGGTCTCCCTCCAGAGCCTCCTTCTTAAGACTTTCATATTACTGAATAATGGCGCTGAGCAATCCTGAGAACCAGGCCGTGGATTGCACCAGTTGGGCTTCCCTCGGCTTCCCTGTGCCCCGCCCTCCGCCCTCCGCCCTCCGCCCTTCTCCCAACTCTCCTGCCCTGGGACTCTGGACGTTCATCATTATTTTCTTTTTTGAATCCACAGAGGGCAGTGAAGACATCAATGGACATGAATAAAAGGGAAAGCTGTGTAAGGAAAGGAAACGGTAAAGCCAGGAAGTATATCCCTTCCACTGCGGTGGGTGGTATCCTTAACCACCTCTTCTAAGGCCACTTGGGAAAATCAGAGTGAAGGGCGGCACCAAGCTCCCTTTCATGCAGGCTGCCCACTTTCATGCAGGCTGCCCACTTGCTCCAAGATGGCAATTTCTATGGGTGCTAAGCAGATTCCGGTACCCAGTGAGGGATACTGTAGCATCCAAGACAGCTGGGATGTCCCTAAGCCCTGAGAGTCCTCACCTTCAGTGCAGTCTTATGTGTCTCTGGGGAGACATGGTCCTGAAGCTACCGAGGTTCTGTAGACTTTTCATATGTACATCATAAAGCATAGGGAAAAAAATCCCAGTAAGCCCAAGGCTCAGGTTACCTCAGCTCGGGTAATACTGAGGGCAGAATCATGAATTACTTGTGTTGTTTCAATTTTGTGCTGATATAAGTATACATACTTGAGTTTGTTCTATTTTAAATGGTATTTTTCTGCATTATTATATCTGGAATACTTTAAGATATTATATAAAGATATATATGTCTAATATATTTTAACTACCACAGCATAATTTGTTTCTATTGAAAGGCACAGACAAGGTTTGGTGTCAGTGCAGAAAATATTTTCAGGAAAAAGGAAGAGCTCCTGGAAACTGTCACAGTGCAGGTTATGCTCTGCCATGGTCAGCAGAGCCCCATTCCTCAGTGTGTTCTCAAGGTTGTAAAAATGCCTCCCCACTGTGTCAGGGTCACTATCAGTGAATGGTGCCCCTAGACAGAGGCTGGGGAGGTGAGCTCCTAGGAGGAAGACTATCTTGTTGCCCCAGGAGAATAATGTCCCTCCTGGAAACAGCTTTCCAGGTGGCAGAAGTCCTAAACAGAGGGGAGTTGCTGGCAGGGAAGAAGCTTCTATTAACTAGGCCCATTGTTGTGTGGAATTTTCCATGTAATTGCCACAAGGGAACCTGCACAGGAGCGCTGTCAGCCTGGTTTGATAACACCTGCAGACCTTGGTCTACTTCAGGCACAGCAGCGCCCACCTCCTTTCCCTCTGACTAAAAGAACACAGTTACCCCTACGTGGTTGAAGCTTTTAGACTCTGTCCCGCTATCAGCTCTTATAAACCTTTTATCTGAATCAGGCCTTCCTGTAAACTTAACAGTTTGGGGAAAAAAGAAGGCTGGCCTTGGAGCCTGAGGCCCACACTCTAGGGCAAGGGAAGCCTGCAGTCCTATACTGTTTCCCCACAGGTGACTTTGCTCCCTCATACCTGTGTCCCAGAGACCAGATCCTGTGCCTGTGCTATAGGTGCTCAGAGTGGCCCATGGGGGAGCACTGACCTGAGATCTCCAAACATTCAGGTCAAGCCTGAGGTCAGAGGACAAGAGCCGTCTTCACCGCTTGTCCACTTACCAAGCTAAAGTTACGTTGTTTACTTTGTAGTTTGTATAGATTTAGAACTAGTTTCAGAAATACATTTCATATGTAAAGGTTTTAACCTTAAACCAGATGTATCTATTGTTGATATATATGTGTATATATACACATATATATCAAAGCACACATAGGGACAAGCAGCCTACACATTCTAGACCTTAGTGAATTTTGTGAGCACAATGCCTGCCAAGTTTCCCTTGGCATCTCACCCTGCACCAGCTTTACTTCCACAGAAGACAACCTGGGAAACATCAGACTCAGCCTCTTGCCCAAGAGCACTGCCATACCCATTCACGCTCAGAATACATATGTCCTAACTCACTTCTTTCTCATAGCCTTTCAAGTTAGAAATTACTATCCCACCCACAGGAAGCTGCCATCATGATTGAGCCAGACCACTATGCTGATGTGGGTGTCAGCAGCAGGCATATGAATTTATAGGGACCAATATTCCACATGTAGTCATACTGTATAATAAGCATCAATTAAAACAACAGAAAGCATTTTTCTACATACAAAGCATCCTTCATGCCAGGAAGCTGCATCTGAATTCTACCCAATATTTCAGGCAGAAGTGATACCCTCTCCTACAGAGTATGGATCTGGGTGGATAGAACATTGCCTCACTGTTCTCTTTTAGATCAACAGCAAATACCATGGGAAAGTTGAATTCAGAGCAAATGTGCTTGACTAGAATTGCCAAATTTGACATCAGCCATTGACAATCTATCAGAGGTGTTCAGAAAGGGAAGAAACAGATTCCAGAGCAGGACATTCATGGAGCTGATAGGAACAGGATCCTCCATTTGGGCATGGCCTGGAAAGTGAGGAGGAACAGTGGGCATTTGTTTGTAGCAAGACCTAGATAGTCTGCAAGGCAGCCTCTTCAGTGCAGCAGCCATCAAGAGGCCTCAAAAGAAGCCATGCCTCCAACCCTGGACCATAGCATCTGGACCGAACAGGTTGTGAGAGTAGGTTCTGCTGAGGGAGATGGGAGGGAGGGAGTGCACTTCCAGTGGGTGCAGGTGCTGTCCGTTCTTAGCCAGGTCCTCCCCCACCTGCTGTCAGATCAGCAGTGATACCCTCTGGCTATGCTCCAGCTTCCTCTACTAGCCTCCGCAGCAATTGGGCTACTTCATCCCTAATAATGTGCCAGCTAAATCCGGGTCATAGCATTCTGTTGGGGAATGCTTGCGGTTGGGGAAAAGCCTGAGAGCTGAGCCACTTTGTAGCCAGGGGAAGCAGTAGGGAGTTCCTCATGTAGTCAGCTGACCTCCAGGGGGAAGCTGATAGGTAAAGACACTGGGAAACAGAGACAGGATGTGGTCGGCCTGTCAGGAAAATGGCGTAGCTCATTTGGTCAGGATTGACCCAGGCCATTGCTATTTCTGGGCCAGCTATTGCCCTTCTCTTGGCTCAGGCCTCATACTGGACATCTATCCCATAGCCACCTGGGGCTGATAACACTGGAGAAACTGAGTAAAGGAGCCCCTTGCTTCTTATCAGATGACTCACATGTGAAACCCTCCGTTCCCAAGGAACCAACATTTCACATCTCGGGCCTATCACCCCCTCTCCAAGTGTAAAACGGGGCACAACCACTGCTCAACTCACAAGTTACCTCACAGGGTCAACATGGGGTCACATAGGTGATAATAGATCCTCTGTGAAAGCTACAAAGCATCAGACCCACGGGAACCCTGGACTGTACTATGTCTTCCATGTCACATCTTCCACCCACGTTTCCTTGTGAGATACCGTCATCCCGCACATCTGGCTCGCGTTCTGGGTCCTTGATGGGAGGTTTGGGTACACTACAAATGCAACACTCATTCTTCCTCAGGCTTTGTCTGTGGTTTTGTCTTACACCTAATAGCACTAATAACTCGGCCCTGAGAGCATTCTGGTATCACAGAGCAGGAACCCAAGACAGAACACCAAGTGGCCTCCCCATGTCACATTGGCTCCTAAGTGGGACCTGAGGACAGGCTAGCCAGCAATCATGCCAAGCTTTGCTTACTGTATTGCTTCCTCTCAATGAGAGTTTTGTCCTTCAGTCAGCCCCATGCCTGCTTTAATTAAGTTCACAGCACACTTCGAGATCCATCTTCCTAAGCCTTGCTCATCTGACCCCCAGTGGTCAAGAACGAGAGAATCCGTAATCTGGAAAAGACAATTCTTTTCTATGGCCTGCTACCTATGTGCAATGGTCACCCGCCCCCCCTAACCGCCATTCTGAACCTGTTTTCTAAGATTGTGGATTAAGAAGCAAAGATACTAAAACACTCAAAAGTAAGCCACACACCTTGCAGTCTAGGAAAGATACCACCTGGGCTAGCAGGGCCTGCAGATGCTGCCACAGTGACTGCAATTTGTATATCAAGACTGAGTCTCTGTAAGCAAAGGCTGTGAGCTCAGGGAGTGAGTGTGCCCCTGCCAGCTCTCAGCCTGGCCTCTGTCCACATGCCCAGCCAGTAGGTCAGTCTTTAGTCAACAGAGACCCTGGGGCCCCAAAGACTTTCCCTTCCCTGACACAGTTGAAGCCTGGAGCCACCTTCCTGATTTTTTTGAGCCTAACTGCTTGTCTCCAGATAAGGTCGGTTAGAGAAAGGCTAATTACCTATGCTACTGCCATGTGGGCAGTTGGTTTGGAATGCTCTGAATTCTGAGCCAGTTAGGGGTCCAGCAGACTATTGGCCCTCTAGGGGGTGGTTGGTGCTGGAGGGCAGTGGAGATCTGGGCACCCCCTGCCCCTGGATATTCATAGGGCTTCATCCTGAAGAAAGGCATTGTCTGTCACTTCAGAGGGTGAGATAGGCAAGAGGTGACTCAAGATTTGTGCCGTTCTGTGAGGCTAGGGCCTTTCTCCAGAAAGCCAACCATTTCCCTGTTACAGTCTTGAAGCAGGAGGATTTGGGAAGACCATGACAAGTCCTAGATTTGCTATCCAGAACATGACCCAGACAGAGATCTGCAGATGGTGAGGGGTCTCTGATTTCATGGAACTAGCAACTTTCTCTACCCTGAAGTCATTGTTGTGATGTAGGGAGACCCCCCGAGTCTAAATTGCTGTGTGCTCAGCCATAAGGTAAGAGTTGCAGTTCCTGGTCCACGCACTTTGTATCACATGACACAGCTGGCTTTGCCAGCAGCTGTAGTCTCTGACCTCTGCAGGCTTCCAGTAGGACTCTACCCACCCTGGAGCTGTGGCTGTGTGTCCTCTCTAGATGTCACCATGACAACAGGTCCTGTTAATTCTTCCAGACACATAACTGAAAATTTTTTTTAGGTAATTCTTAGGAAGTACCAGACATGTTTTTTCTTCAAAGTTTTTTTTCCCTGTTTATCTTCAAAATAATGAAATATCAGCAAGCAGGTCCTGTTAACATTTCCACATTGAAGAACAGGAAAATGAGACACCAAGGGGCTGAATACTGTTCCAGCTTTGACTGACAGCCACCAGGAACAGGCAATCACACCTCTCAGTGTCTTACTATTTGCTTCATCTCAATGGAGGCCTCTCCATTAGTGTCTGTAGATAGAGTGGCTCTCACCCCTCTGCAAACAAGTTTCCTTTTGCAGCCAATGGAGGCTATTACAGAGAAACAAAACAGG